GGCGGCGACGCGTCTCGATCCGTCCGTTCTAGTCTGTTCGTGCACTCTGTGTTTCTCTCGTCCCGCTTCTCTCCACGACTGAGAGCGCCTCGCCGATGTGTTCCGATCCGTCTCGCTCTTTGTCCTACGTACCTTCGCCGTGTGTCGTTCTCTCGCTCTCTCCCTTCTTCCGTCCATACGGACGTCTCCGTCCGTCTCTTCTATCTCTCCTTCTCTCAATCCTCCGAGAGAAGCTGACTCGCGCGGCGCACGCATGCACTTTTGTACGTACGTACAGCAGACGGGCCTTTTCTCTCGGAGAAATTTTCAATAGGCGGATCGCGTATCGATATCGTTAGCACGCGACGCGGATATAAACCCGTCGCTCGTCGAGTGTTTTTTTTTTTTTTTTTCCAACATTATCGACTTTGCGTAGCCACGACAATCGTGCGCGCTTTTCTGCCCGCGCCCTTTTGCCCGCTTCTTTCATCGACGCCCTTTGCCTCGCGCATCGACGACCGCAAACTTTTCGCGCCAAGAGAGCTTGCGTTCGGCGTTGAAACAAATCGGAGACGTCGGAATCGCAAAATCGAACCGCATAAATAAAGCTAATCCGATCAAAATCGTATCGAACACAAATTTATACGTACACAAACTTTCGAGTTAAGAGAAAGCTCTGACTGCTTTCGATTTGCAATACCGAAACACAACGAGCGTAGGAGCAGTTTCGACGTTGTGATCGATTCCCACGATTCTTCTCTCTGTTTCTCTCTTCTGTTCGCTCGCGCACGCACATACACGCTCGCTCTCTCTCTCTTTCTCTCCCATCTTTTTGTCCGGATACGTTATTAATCCATTTCGTTCTCAAGCAAGAAAAAACGTTATTTCTATGTCGTCGCTCGACTCGATATTATTTTTAAGTTTTTTTCTGTACCAATGACGTAACTTGGAAGTAAAAACGTCATTACTTTCATAACCGCATTCGCTCTCTCGAAAGGAACGGGTGCGACAGTGTTGCCAATGATTTTCTCTTTAATTTTTTTTGTGGGAAATTTCGTGAGGTTGGTACGAAACGTCGACGTGCGAACGAGCGACGTTGCACTTTAGTGCGAATTCGCATGAGAGCGAAATGGTTGTCAGCCAATCAACGCTTGTAACTTTTAATTATTTTTTTCGAAAAACAGTTATTTGATTGGCGAGCGTTGGCGAACGTTCTAAACGTCGTCGCGTTCGATGTGCAAGAGCCGTTATTGTAACCCAGCGTTCCCAGAAATTCGTTTATTGACAACCAATCAGTGTTTCCGGCGAGGCCGTCGTTCGGCAACCGTAACCTCAGAAATAATCAGAAATAATGATTGTAGAATGTAGCTGGTCTCAATTGTGCGTCCGTGTGTAATCGAATTGTTACGGTATGGCTGATGCGGGCCTAAGTTTAGATGATATAATTAAAAAGAAGAAATTTTCCGGAACGAGGGGCAGAGGAAGGTAAGTCGCATTCAACCGATTGTTCAGCCGAATCCTTGTTAACTCGTATTGTAAATTTTATAACCTTTCTACTCCCATTTTTGGTCAAGAGAAATTCTCCCACACGCCGAACATTTAGTCATTTTGCATGTGGATTAATATATACTTTATAAATTTGCAGTATACAGTAATTTTTTTCAGTAATGTTTTCGAATAAATTTTCAAATACAGGATAGGTGTGCGTATGCACGGTGTTGTTTTGGTTGTGTAATTTAAATGATGAAGACATTTTTTAAAAATTTTCAACAAAATGTAAAAACCATGTGTTTATCTTCTTGCAATTATCTTGTTTTGTCAGGAAAGTGAAGGGAAATTTGTGAATTTGTTTTTAATTGCAGAATAATGCACAGAGGCATCGGTAGGAGCATACGCCCGAATGGTTCGATTAGAGGACGTGGACATATGAAAGATGCGCGGTTTAAGATAATAGAGAAAAATCGTGAGAAACTGACCGACGCTAGGGACAAGCTCGCGGAAATAGCAAAGCAGAGCGATGCAAGACTCAAATTGGACAAAATACGTGCTTCTCAGCATAAGAAGATAAATGCACAATTTCCAAAACTGAATCGTACCGATCGAATTTCCTTATCCACGAATAAAGCGCCACCATTAATGTCACACACATTTTCCTCAAATATGCCAAATAATTATATGCAACCTCCATCCAGAACAACAGGCTACAGACCACCACCTCCTCCTATATCTGATTCTCATTATTTATCAGACATGAGTATGGATTATACTCATACAGATGGTATGTTGTAGTCAAAGTGGATATATTTTGGAAGCACTTTCAGACGTCTGTAATCAGAATGTTTTTCTTCAGACTATTTAATGGATTCTTCTTCGTTGCGAAGAACGGTTAATAACGAGTATGCACCAACGCCGCCGCCTCCACTTCCTGTGTTCAGTATTAATCCAACTTACAACTGGGTGAAACCTGCAAGCAGTAACACAGCCAGGATTCCAGTTCGAAAATCTGAAATAGAAAGGGAACGAGACAGACAGAGAGAATATAAACTTACTACACGCTCTATGATGGTAATTTGATTTTTATATAATGAACTGATCTCTATATCTTCTTTGTAATTTAATTATTTTGATTTTAAGGCTCCTCCTTACAAGGAAGATTGGAGCTTTGGCACAAAGTCAAGGTAAAACAGAGACATTTATTAAATGTCAGAATTCTTAAGAACTAATATTTAACATAAATAGACAACGACCTCATAACTTTTCTTACAGAACAATTGTAGTAGAAGAAGCAGCAGATTCTAAATATTACGATTACAGAAATCCTCGAGATGCAGGAGTTAAATCGCGTCTCGACTCGTCGGTAAATAAATTAAAATTATCGCCCACTGTATCACGGCCGAAAGCGAGTTCCAGTTCGTCGCCTCAATCGCCAGGCTATAGAATTGTTGTATCCAATTTGCAAGCAAACGTTACACAAGAGGATATCAAGGTAAAATTTCGATAAAATTAAAAAATGTACCTTCACTTTTGTAATAAGAATTAACAAATAGTGTTTTTTTTTTCGTTTTACATTTTATAGGAGTTATTTGAAGATGTTGGAGAGTTACTCGTGTCGAGATTAGTACGACCAGGAACAGCTGAGGTAATCTACAAGACGTTGAAAGATGCGACTAAAGCAGTCGAGACTTATCACAATCGGCAATTGGATGGTCATCCAATGAAATGTCTTCTGGTTAATCCACGATCAAAAAATAATCCAACTGGACCAGCTGTTCGATCTGTTACAGAGTAAGTAGCGAATTTATTACGCGCACGAGAAGCGATTGATAATATCCAAAGTATTGGATATTAGTATTGAAGTATCCGAAACGCGATATATATGTAGCGACAGTAATATTACATTTTTATCATAACTTGTTTAACAAATTTTAACCTTGAGAAGAACAAATGTCAAAGTTCGTTATCGCACGTAGTGTTTGTGTGTGGCAGCTCGTCAAAATTCTATTTTACAATTTCTGTGTGTTTCACATTTTTATAATTTTTCTCTAGTTATTCCATAATACGTTGAATCATGTAAAAACGTTTAAAACTAATAATGTACTTATTATGATTGCTAACAAAAAGTCGCGGCTACTACGGTAGCTATTACGGTATGATACCCACCCACAGTTCAGGAGTGACACTGCACATAATGATAGACTATTACATAAGAAACATGTATATTAAGTTCGGATTGCGGCATATTGAATATACTGGAGATATGAGGAGCGAAATCATGTTTAAAAAAAGAGTTTTTCACGATTATCCGAAATTATTTACATTATACAAAAAGTTTTCAAACAAAAAATGTAGGAAATTAAATTTTTCACAAAAAAGGTTTTAATCTTCAATCATATAACTTCAACCGGTTTTATGATAGAACGCTGAGAGCAAATACTGAGAGTTTTTCACGATCATCTCCACAATTAATCACATTATGAAAAAAGTTTTCAAACAAAAAATAGAGGAAATTAAATTTTCCACAAAAAAGGTTATAACCTTCATTCACGTAACTTCAACCGTTTTCATGGTAGAACGCTAAGAACGAGGTAAAGTTGCACATTAGCTACTCTGTCTTCTTTAATTTTGTGGAACTTAGTATTTTTACGTATTTTTCACGATTATCCGGGGGGCGCAAGGGGAGGGGCGCAGCCCCCCTGCCTACACACTTACAGCACGAACATAAAAATACTTTGTTTTTTTACACTATATATATGTATATATATTTTTTTTTTTTTTACGTGGGGGAAATGCCTACGCATTCCCCGATCCCTGGAAAAAGGTCGAGGGTATGTAGGACTTGCACTCACTAAAACTCCCACGGTGCCAACCTTTTTTTTTAATCCAGAGGAAATGCATTACGCACATCCCACCCCACCGAGGGATGGGGTAGTGTGGAGCTCCCCTCGGCCAGAGCTCACCTGGCGGGGTATACCCACTAAAATCCCTTTTAGGGGTTTATGTGCACATTACCGCCATCTGTGGATACTAGCGCCATCTGTGGATGCTAACGCCATTCACGAAATTGCTCATTTATATACGTAAAAATACCAAGTTCCACAAAGATCAAAGAAAACAGAGTAGCTAATGTACAACTTTACCTCGTTCTCAGCGTTCTACCATAAAAACGGTTGAAGTTACGTGAATGAAGGTTATAACCTTTTTCGTAGAAAATTTAATTTCCTCTATTTTTTGTTTGAAAACTTTTCATAATGTGATTAATTGTGGAGATGATCGTGAAAAACTCTCAGTATTCGCTCTCAGCGTTCTATCATAAAACCGGTTGAAGTTATATAATTGAAGGTTATAATCTTTTTTGTGAAAAAGTTAATATCCTACATTTTTTGAAAACTTTTTCTATAATGTGAATAATTTCGGAAATAATCGTGAAAAACTCTTTTTTTAAACATGATTTCGCTCCTCATATCTTCAGTATATTCAATATGCCGCAATCCAAACTTGACATACATGTTTCTTATGTAATAGTCTATCATTATGTGCAGTGTCATTCCTGAACTTTGGGTGGATTATACCGTAAAATATCCAAAGTCGCTGTAGAAAGCTTTAAAATGTAAATAACTCTTATATTAGAATACATTAATTAATCTGTAGAGGGCTGACAATTTTTGAAATCTTAAACTTTTTTCACGGAACATTTATGCACATGTAACCTGTATGTGCCATGCAGTTGCTAAGTCTGTTGCTGGTCCGTATGCGAATCAGTCCGGCCCTCTAAAGGTTAAAACAAAAATAATACAACAAACTCAAAAAAAAAAAAAAAAAAAAAATTATATATATATATTTTCTTGACAGATCAAGGCGCAGTGTAAGCTCTAGTTACGTACAACCGAGTTTAGGAGCAGTGCATCGTGCATTATTCGATGTTTCTTAATTGTATGTATCTTCTTTTGGTAAAGTGAGAGAAATGTAAAGGAATGGACGCAATGGAACGCAGTGTAATCAAGTGTAATGAAATAATGACGATAGAAGAAAGCGGTCGGGAGATGACAAAATACACAATTTACAATTGCGCATTTACAATTGCGTGCAAATTCAAATTCTCAACTGCAGATGTATTGTAATAAACTTGTACCACTTATTATTATCTTTAATCTGTACGGTTTATACAATCAATTAATACTAAAACAATACACTTGCGGATTTCTTCATCGATTTTTAAATAATCGTTTTTCCCTTTATATTTTACGCTATTAGTTCCTTGCGACTTTATTATATTCCAGAATGTATTCTTTAGGTGTGATGATAAGTTACGCTAGACGTACACGATTATAAAAACAAATTAGGTTTGTCTTTTGCCAGACTTTCTGAAAGATTTAATATATAAGGAACCTAGAAATAAATTTACATTTATTAAAATGAAATTGCATATAAATCAAGGCGCAAATTGCTTCTTGTACATTTATGTCCGAATAAAATAATTCCTGTGTACTCATGAAACAAACTTTTGAATGACGTTTTCTTTTAGAGATACGATATAAATTTCTTAAACTTATACAGCGTGTTTGGTAATTGCCGTAACACCGCTCGTAAGCAGGTAGAAGGGATTATTCTGAGTCGAAAAGTCCTTTATTATTTTGCGAGATTCGCAATAGTTTTAACAAAAGTTTTAATAAATAAAAATCCGCGAATGAGCGTGCAGCCACGTGCAAAATGACAGGTGTCATTTTTTCGCGCGCTCGTACGCCGTAGCAACGGAATGAGAGGAACTAATAAACAGCATATATTAGTTCCTAAAATAGCCAAAAATTAATTCGAGCGTAAAATTCGAATTAATTTCTCTTCCACAAGGCGATCTTAATTTTGATTTGGTGCTCTTATGGCTTCGCGGATCCTGATGCTAGTCCATTCTATAGACACAAAACGGTTTTAGTTATAACATCTGAACACGGGCCCGACACTAAATGGGCAACGCCTACTGTGAAAAGACGGTCGTGCATCGCGTAGTAGTAATGTACTGCACAACTTCCTCTTCTACGTTCTGAGTATATGTCATGTAAAGATTTAGACTGGCTCTTATGGTCCAAAAAGCCATAAATGCATCAAGTGCCGATTTCTTCACACCTCCCGATAGCTATCCTCTAGATAAAGATGTGCAAAAAGATATATATTTTATCTCTTAGATAAAGTTATCAAGAACTTATCTAGATATAAAGTAATTGGGCACAAATCAACCAAATAATTGATTCAACATTGCTACGTATTTAAAAGGTTTTTTTTCAAGTTTTCAAGAGAGTTTATATAAGAAATGTACTTAAAAACTTACTTATTTAAAAAAGTTCTTCTGTATATCGTGTCGTCTTCCTTTTTCTTCTATACTGTTTTACAATTGTTTCGTTATATGTAATTGTTTTCCTTGGCGTGCAGCTTGTGATTTTCCAAACAAGCAATTTCAACATAACGAAAAAAGGAGAAGATTTATTTCAATCAAGGCGCTATACAAAGTCCAGGACACAATATATATACACTATCTCCTCCCTTTCAATTAATAATAATAATAATAATAATAATAAAGATGTCTTGAGGTGTGACTTCCGGTTCGAAATGGTTATTCCAAAAGTACGTTAATAAAATCGGCTGTTACGAACCAGTGCAGGGTGTATTGCAATATCAGACTTCAACAATAAAGTCGAAACGTTTTGTTCCATAACATAAAATTGTTTGATATTGCAATACACCCTGCACTAGTTCGTAACAGCCGATTTTATTAACGTACTTTTAGAATAATGATAATAATAGTAATAATAATAATAATAATAATATACATTTGTCTCTTTCACGATTCAAACTGCACAACACAAGCCCATAATTCCGCTTGTCTCTATTTCCAGCAAATGTATTCTCTCTTTCTCTCTCTCTCTTTTGAAGTTTTAGCTATAGAATAAATTCCACATTCCACCTGGCTGGATTCTTTACAAAACCGTCCTCTCTTGAGAGCATCGAAAATCTAAAAAGAATAGAACAGTCGAGGGACAAGTCAGACACAGACTTTTTTAATACATACACACATCGCAATCCGTTCCCTCTTTGTGTTCTGGATGCCCGAGGTGCCGGAAAACGATTGCTCAGAGATGATTCCTTAGTAGCACCAAACCACTTTAGAAATGTACAAAAATTTTGAACATAACGATTCCTCCTCTAATAGAAAAATTGTGAAAACATTCCACAAAAATGACATTATAAATTGACAAAAAAAAATCGTAATGATTGCACTAAGATTCGTCATAACGCAACAGTTTTGTCAGAATAAAATTTTGTACTAATTAGAAAAGTCCAATTTAGAGTATAAATATAATATTTCAATTATTTAATGTATAAAATTGTACAATTTAATATATTTGTGGCAATGTAATGCGGCAAAACCTTTTTGCAATATTTGCAACATTTTCAGACAAAATATTTATATTCTAATTACTAAATTAATTTAATTTTCGTTATAATTAGTAATAGTGATGGAGAATCTCACTTTCTACGATCTCGGAATTCTGGTTGAGACGTGATCAAAAAAAAAAAAAAAAGAAAAAAACGGTAACTAATTATTCTAAAATATTCGACACAAGCATTATCGAAAATGCTCAGTTTACATGCATCTCATAAAAATTGTTTTGATTCGTGATTTAAGATTTTGCTGCATTAATGTGCAATATTTCTACATTATAATTTAGGAGTCGTTGTGCACATCTCTATAAGCACATACATGAATTAATTTGATTTCTTCATGTGCAATTATATTTCTACATGTTTTAAACATCGCATAGCTGAAATTTTTTTTTCCATTTTTTTCAATTTAATTTTGCAAATATACTGCTAAGATGATTTGTCATATTGTTTTGCCGAAATAGTAATTGAAAATTAATTTTGCAAACGGTTGCAAATATTTTTTTTTTTTATAAAAGATCACAATATTTTTCCATTTCATAAAATATATCTATATATAATTGCAAATTACAAATTTTCATACAAGATTTTGTCACATAATTTCATAAATGTTTTCTTATCGGGGTTCTATTTTTGTAACGCTGCTGGGAGGGATTCGAGTATAAAGCTGTTGTCTCCTGTTTAGTGTGTGTTATCGACATTGAATCTTTTGCCGTTTATTCAAACATGTGTTTTTGTGGTGTCAGTGTTATCCAATCTTGTCTGTTCTATCTTATTCAATTTATTTATTTCACTGTGTAAAAATCGAACTATTTTGTCTATCAAGGATCGTTATCTTTAATAGATCAACTGATTAATTATCAACAATAAGGTAGGAGCGCTTAGTTTTGTGTGGTAATAATGTTGAACAAAAAATCATAAAATGACAGCACGTTCATATTATACTTTTCAAATTTTTAGTATTTGTATAAGACTGAAGAAGACTCTAGTCAGAGATTGAAACGCATTTGTAATAATGTTATGCTAGTTTAAATATTTTTTAATATTTTAATATTTTTAATATTTTTTATTTATTATTATTATATATATTATATATATTATTATAATATTATATAAATAAT